GAGAGCCACCACCACGCGCACGCCCCGCTCCGTGCTCCGCATCCTCTCCCGCGTCGCGGCCCCGCTGCTCGCGGCTCCAGCCGCCCCGCACTTCCACTCCGACTTGCACTCGCACTACGTCCCGGCCGCCACGCCCGCCCCGCACCCGTGCTGCGGCCTGGTGCCGCGCGCAAGCTCCGCAGAGACCCACGCGCATGGCGCACACAGCTTCTCTATGTTCGAGGAGAGCAAGAAGCTCTTCGACGGCGCCGACTTGGTCGTCGAGTGCCACCCGGCCAAGCATCATCTGCCCTCACTTATGAACGGCCCCGCCGCCAGGGACTTCGCTATCCACAAGGAGACCGTCCCGGACGACTTTGACTACGACCGCCTCGCCCACCACCACCACCACCATCCGGACGACCTCCTCACGGAGGACGAGGTCGACACCCTCTCGCTGAGCGACGCCCACCCGTCCAAGGACCGCATCGACGAGCCCGAGGCCATCGGCGACCAGCTGCTGTCGCAGGACAAGGACGACGACGACACCTCCCCGTTCGACATCGCCCCCGTGTGGAAGCGCCTCAAGAGGGTCGACGAGCTGGACGCCGTCCTCCCGCCGCGCGCCTCCGCCGCCGCCTCCCGCAGGACCCGCTCGCTCAGGGCCACCGACCTCACCGACCCCACTGCCGCCGCCTTGCTGCTGCTGCCCCGTCCTCCTCCCGAAGACACTTTTCCGACACCCCCCAATTTCAATCCCCCGTCTCCCCGCCATCTGTTGCACCGCCCCGCCTCGCACCAGGACGTCCAAACCAACCGCTCCCTCCCGCCGCTCCACCCGCCCTACGACCCCACGCTTGCTGGCTTCCACCGCTATGCCCCCGACTTGCGCCGCCGCAGTGCCCCCGTGCCGCACATTCCCTCGCTCGAGACAGAGCCAGACCACCCCGACAAAGGAGCACACCAAAGAGAAGAAGAAGAAGAAGAAGAAGAAGAAGATACGCAACAAGAGGAGGAGACAGAGGAGCAGGTCGCTGTGGATAACACCCCGTCCAGCGAAGCCCCCCACGCGGGTACCGCGCCGCCGCCCACCACCATCGACAGTCAGGTTGCCAATCGTCCCGAGCCACTTGTTGCTGAGGAGGAGGACGACGACGACGAGGAGAAGGAGGGGGAGGACGAGGAGAGCGCCATTCCTTCTCCATCGCCCGCAATTGCTATGCGTGCCTCCTCCTCGGCCCTGGATCTCGCGCCCTCGTCCGGCCCTCTCTCGGCGGACCCAGCCTCCGATGACGCCCTGCTCCCGCCCGCCGACCTGCAAGATTCTGCCCGCGTTTCCGGCGAGCGCGAGTGCCAGCCCATTTTCGATACTCGCTCAACGAGTGAGCGCGCCCCGTCGCGAGCTCCCAGCTTGGGACGCCCCAGCATCATCGACGATCATTCCGTCGTGTCCGGCGATAGTTTCCCGGATATCGGCGAGGGGTCGCCCTCGCGCTCGTCCGAGTCCGTGCCGTTCGAGTCCGTGCCGTTCGAGTCCGTGCCGTCCGAGTCGGTTCCGATAAGCACAACGCAGGAGGAAATCGGAGCGACGAGTGCCGCGCCAGAGGACCCTGTAGAGGCAGTGGCAGAGCCTGGTGTTACTGTTGGGAAGATGTCGCCGGTTCGCAGTGCCCTCTCGTTGCTCTTGCCGGGAGATGACATTAGCGAGACGTCGACCTTTGAGGACTGTCAACCGAGCCAGTCGGAGCAGGATTTGACGTACCTTGGATTCAATGCGCCGTCTTTTGCGACAGCCGACGACCATGCCGTCATGGACAGCGTCATGCCGCATGGGCTGGACCCGCTCGTCCTTCCCTCGCAGGACGATTTTTCCGTGGCGCACTGCACGCCGGATATTTCGCCGCTAGCTGGCGTATTCTACGGCGCCGATTCGATATCCAGTGAGTTGAACAGTAGCCCCGACACGCTCCCACGGGATGACGCAGGCCTGGCCGACTACCCTGAATACGAAGTGCTCAAGAACCAGACGAACGAAGATTCCATCTTCGGCTCCGAGCCCAACACGCCGGTGCTGCGGACGACGTCTGGGTGGAACGAGCCCTTTGGCGACTATGACGAGATGGGCGACCGTCTACGCGAGGAGCGTGTACCGCTAGGGCACGTCAATTTTGAAGACCGCAACAGGGACACGGTGCCGGAGGTCCTTTTGCACGACTGGTCGGGGAGCATCCCCGTGGAACCCAATGTTGACATCGTGGACTCTGCGCCCAACTCGCGCTCGTCGACAACGTACAGCCGTTTATTTAGCGCGCATACCAAGGAGGCGGACGAGTATGCCAAGACAGCGAATCTAATCTCGAGCCAGTTGACGGCCAACCTATCTAAGCTCTTCTCCGAATCCAGCCAGACAGATGTCGGCGAGGGTGCCGTACGCGACAGGCACGGGCGCAACAGCCTGCTAGACCTGATGCCGCGGCCGGGCGAGGTGATACGACACGAAAGCGGGATTCCGCCGTCGCCCGTGCGCACGGCCGAGCACGACAACTCGTCGGTGCTATCGCAGGTGGCGTGGGTGTCGTCCGAGTACGAGGACCACTCACGTGGGGCGCGGGCGGCGCGCGCAGAACTGGGGCGCGGAGGGATATTCACATCGATCGCCGGGACGCACGCGCCCGACCCGAGGCTGGACGACTTCCAGACGACGGTGCAGCGGCGCGTCGGCGACGGCGGAAGGCGCGCGGCCGGCGCCAAGCGCGGCAGGTCGTTCGCCGAGACCGAGCGGGCCAGGGAGGACGCAGACGGCTTTGCGGAGGAGAGCGGCGGCGCGACCGGCAGAAGGAGACGGCTCAGCAATTTGGAGTCCAGCGGGCGCGAGGAGGGGGGGCTGAGGGCCGTGGTGATGGGGCGGCTCGCCAGTGGGATGCACCTTGCGAAGAAGCTGGTTTCGTGAGGCGAGGTTTTGGCGTTGCGGTTGCTTCCAGCGAAAGAGAGAGAGAGAAAGAGAGAGAGATGTATATAAAGTTTTACGTCGGACTGTAAAAAAAGTGTTTGTCGGCGACGGCTACCGGGCGCGCGCAGGCGGGCGGCGTGTCAAAGCGGGTCGCTCATGCCGCCCGGGAGGAAGTCGCGCGACAGCGTGGCGACGATTGTCGCGCCGAAGATCAGCGTGATGATGGCGAAGCTCGCCACGCCCCACACGGACCACTTCGGCTCCTCGACCTCCTGCTCGGTCGGCGTGCGCGCCTCGTTGTCGCCCTGCGATTGCCCGTCGTCGGCCGCCATGCGCGAGGGCGCGCGCGCGCGCGCGCGGCCCGCGGCCCGCGCCGCGGCGCGTGGGGCGCCCCGCG